AATGTATTACTCAACAACCACTTAAATTTTTAAGTGTATTTGGCAATGAGTCACCTGGTTTCGTAAACCTCGGTAGGTGGAGAGGAGGTCGAACCCAAGCCGTCATGGTTGAAAGTCAGGCAACTAAAACCAATGAGCCAAAACTCCATGTTAGAAATTTAGGTTTACGTACATTTAACACTTCAGCGAATCAACGTGTGTCCTATTGACAGCCTTTAAAACAGCAATTTTAGTTACAAATTAAGGCAGTGCCTTATCACCTGTCTGTCTGTCTATTTTCAACATAGAACTTGCCACCGATGTGCAGCAGTTCAAATCGTCACACTCCCTCCTTGTAGCACACAAAGCAACAGAAGAAAGCAGAAGAAATGCATAATACAGACAGTACACAGAGGCGTGAGACAAAGGAATAGTAATAACGAAGAACAATGTAGTTTCATTGGAAATCATAAGTCACAAGGAGTGGATGCATCTGCACCGGCCACTGAGAACGATTTTGAGCCATATCATCAATTGTTTGCAGCCATTGGTTTTTACCGTTCCGAGGACCCCAACCAGTCAGGAAGTCTACACCTTACTACGTGGTTGGTTGGCTTAAACTAACTGTTGTGGATTTCATTGACTGGTGAGGTCATGTTTTGGTTTGACCGCCGCTAGCTTTTCTCCAGCGTGACCCCATGTCAGCTAACATTGCCCATCGGTCGAGGGAGGCGATGACTAGGCATACGTAACACATGTCCTGACCATCTCAGTCAATGTAATTTCACAGCCTCGTCGACGGATTTCCCCTCCGTGCCTAGCACTCGACCGATGCCTTACCTCAGTATTCCTCACCTTATTATACCACTTCACACGGGAGATAGAACGCATACACATATGATCAAAGACAGCTAATCTTTTCATGTCTTGCACTCTCAGTGGCCAGGTCTCACAGCCAACCATAAAGGAGAACGGAGCGGACTGATGAGCAGTACACACGCCCTTTGGTCGATAGCCAGCCGGATATCACGTCTACTAGGAGAGAGACAACGTAAACTGGCATATGCGAAACTAGCCCTCTGTATGCGTGCTGAGATTTCGTCAGTGATCAACCCGTTCGGGTTGGCTGATGGTACTTCCCAAATAAGTGAAGCGGTCAACGTGCTCTACCACTTTACTCCCTATTTCTAAACTAGGAGTCAGTCTGGTCCAATTCTGTAACATCATCGTACATTTGGCGGGAGCGAATCACATACCAAACATTCGTAGATTGCAGCTCAAGATGTTCAGAAGACTCCTTACCTCCACCTGTTTGAATGTACCAAAGAAAAAAGGTTTTATTAAGAAAATAAAGGTCGAAGTCTACACATGGACAATCCACACTATATGATTAACTGCTATTTGTCATTGAGTCAATTAGACAGGTTTTACAAAACTTTATTAAGTATAAGTCAGATAAGAAGTAGGTAGCTGAATGGAGGCATATAGAGGAAGAAACCTTTGATTAATCAATTTAATAAAATAACCGATTTTAACAGTATGGGTACGCATGCTGAATAGTGTTAAGAAATTACCGGAATCCAGTGATTACAACTTCTGTCGTCTACTGATATTCCCAATTCATAATTAATAAGATATACCGTAGAACAAGCAATAGTCAATAATTCAAACTATGAACTGTTTAGCTTTTTAGTCACAAAATGTAACGAAATAAAAAATAAGGTGACTAAATTTGGCACGGACACAGACTACTAATGGACAAAACAATTTAGAACTTAGGATAGAAGTGCATTATATCAAATCATGACATGAAGAAAAGCACAACCAGAAAATAAAGTAGTGTGATTAACTTTAGCTGACAATTATTTCAATTATCATCTAAACTTTGGATAATATCGAACCAATTGTACGTTAAGGTGGACTGAACTGGCTTGGATATGTGCTACAGAGGTCAGCAGAGGTTAAATATGACTACACGGAGAAAAGGTTCAAAAATTTAAGTAAAATGACTAAGAACCAATATTTTATACCCTATTCCTCACTTTATCACATATCTTTACTTCCACTTTTCTTTGCCTTACACCATCATAATATCTTTGTTTATAGGATTTTTGCTTTCATTACTTTTTACTTGATGTGCAGATGTAAGATGTGGTAAATGAAGCTACGACGTGATAATGTTGTCTTAGGTTAATAGTACAGGCCAGAATATACTAATATAGTTTCCATTGACATGCCAGCATTAACATGAATAGTATGTGGTGAATCATGATTAGAGGTGAGATCAAAACATCCATAGTGACAGGATTCGAGTTAGTCACCTATGAATTGCTGGTTAGTTCAATCACAAGATCAAACTGATACCTGGTTATCAGTTACAATACGCCTGAGCGTTTTGCCCGAGCTTCCTGCAAAATAGTCAGTATTCACTTCTCTTCGCTGTCATAACACCAAATCCTTCTCAGTAGGATCTTCCGACGTAAATATATGTATATATATGTTATATGGTTAGGGGCAATTGGCAGGAAGCCTTGGACCTAGTTTTCGTACTAGTCAGCACTCGTCAGCAAGGGGCATCTGCAACCTCGAAAGAACTCATGTCCCTTCTGAGATTCGAACCTACATCACCCAGTGCCGCAGTTAGAGACGTTACCACGGCTATACTGGGGTTCGCGATTGACCTCCTGTAGGACTGTATTCTATACTTTGATTGGACACTAGTAACTAGTGTGATGTATCTACCCTTGCTGACGAGTGCCTACTAGCACGAAACCTAAGTCTTCCTTTCGATTGCTTCCAACCTTCTAACGTCAACAATTCAAAGTGCACCGTAACGGTGAGCAATCCAAAGTGGTGGCCACATTGCAAACCAGACTAATAGAATTCAGTCTGCACCAAAGAAAGGACTAGACACATAACACTAGTTACTAATGTCCAATGAAAGTATATATATATGTCCATTTTGAATGGAATATAGGACCTCAACCTTGGGTTTTGAAGCTTCAATAGCACTGACGTTTTTTTTACTGGGTGAGATTGCTAGCCTCCTGCCGAAGCTACCCCCCCCCTTATTAGCACTACTGCCGGCACGCGGCGTTTAGGAGTGTCTCAGTAGAAGATCGAACTAGGACCAAAAATGTAATTAACGAGCTTTCTACCATTGAACCCCCGAGCATATATATATATACCATTGTCATTATTATTATTTCTCAAAATTTCTATACTTTTCGGTATCATTGTCATTGTCTTGTCTCCATCATTTCTCACTTGACTGCACAACTTTCCATAACTATTTCTTCCCAATTGATCCGAGAAAGATTTCTTCAATCCCTTATAAATGCACATCTACATTCGGCTGAATCACATATGCATGAGTGCGTCGGTGGTTCAGCTGTAGATTGCTCTCCAATCACAAATGTCAGCCGAAGTTCGACTCCCAGCCGGCTCACACCGTTACCTTCCTTAGCCGGTTGTAAACCCGACAAAGATGGAAGGTTGGATATGAGATTAGCTACTGAGACTTCAAAGCTAAAGCTTGAAGTCCAATGTTCCAATAATATATAGATGAGATACCGGTTATCTTGTCTTATTCTATAATACTATGAAAACGTGAATCATTACAAAATGAATCCGCGTTTACATCCACATTTATAAGCTAATCATTTATTGATCTGAAGATTTATACGAATTCAGAGAATTCAAGGAAATAACAGTGATCTCGTCGTCTTATTCTATAAGCCATTCATAAACAGTTAAAACAATAATAAATTTACAGTAGATAATGTCATATGAAGAATTTTGCCGACATTTCAACCAGAAAGTGATACACAGCATGATTTACTTAGGCCTACAGAGTAAACCACTTTAACATAAATATATTTCAAACAATTGAGAATGACAGTTTATACCGAAATTGGCAATAAGCTAACCCGCTCCCTCGCTGTATAAGCCAACAAATGAAAAGCAGCAAGCATTATTTTCATAATGAAATACAATGCTAAATAATAACAACACTATAACTTTGAGGTCCAATTCTTAATTGTGAAAAAAATTTCTAATGACAGCTGCAAAACATGATAGAAGAAGACAGAATAGCTTAGTGATACTGCATTTTATTTCATATCCGTATTAATTACTATTGACATGCGATAAATGTCATTTTTGAGGCTATTCGCTGTCTTCACACGGTGGGGGTGAACCTCACAACAGTGAAACGGCGAATTCGAACATCTAGCAGTTACAGCCGGACTGTCTGACATATAGGTTTACATAGGAGAGCTGAAATACTCCGATTCCAAACCTATTGTGTACATGAGCCCCAGAATACTTAAAAAAAGAATGGCGTATGAAGCATTTTTGGACAACGGCAACCATGGGAACGCAATGCCTGACACCTCTCTACTGCTTTGTTGATCAGACTCCAAGTCAACAGTTCGACAAGTGGCTCCTTAAAACAACTGTCTGCTTCAGTTAGGGCATCTGGGCTGTATCCCAGCTCTCGCAAAAGCTATGAGATTTTGTTACAGGATTTCATCATGAGCTGACATTAGTTAGAGAATCATTGGAAAACTAGCTGGGAGTACTGGACAGCTGTTTCGTCCTAGCTGTTTGGGACTCTCCATCAGTACGCACCCAAAGGGAATTGACAGATGTTAGAATTCATGGGCTGGCTACTGGATCCGCTCCCAGCGGCTTAATGGTATACGAGCTAGCTCGCCTTGTAACCAGAAGGTCTTGGGTTCAAACCCTGGCGGCGGGTGCGTACTGCTGAAGAGTTCCAAACTAGAACGAAAATGAAGCTGTCCAGTACTCCCAGCTTGTTTTCCAATGATTCTCTAACTAATGTCAGCTCATGATGAAATCCTGTAAACCAATCAAATCCCTACCAACTAACACTTGAATAAGAGATTTTGTGTGATGCGTAATGTGCCAGGTTTGCGTTCCAGTAGTGTAACAATAATGATAATAATAGCATGTGAAACTAACATACAGAATATAAAAGAACAAATAAATCTACTCACCGTTTTGTACACGAGAAGTATAATCCGACTGTAGATTATCACCACTATGAATAGTATTTGTACTAGCCAGAGAAGCAGGATTAGTAGTAGTGGTAATAGTTGTCGACGAGACTGAACTGACAGAAGGCCGGTGTATACCACCAGTAGTAGTAGTAGTAGTAGTGTTGGCAACTTTAGAAATCAATTGATAAATATTAATCACCAGATATAAATCATCATTATGTTGTTTAAATCCAATTCTTTCATCAACAGATCTATTTGTTGGATATTGATTCAACAAGTGTGTAATCGATGCCAGAAGTGACTTGAAACTATCCAATGATTTATTTAAATGTTGAATAAAATTTAGAATTCTTTTAATATTTTCACAATCATCTTTGTATAGATCATGATGAATATTGAGACTTATAAGAGTATTTGTATCCAATACTGTAGTGGATGCTGCTGCTGCTGATGATGATAGTAATACTACTAATTCTTGATAATGATCTAAGCAAACTGGATCAGTGTGAACAACAATAACAACAACAGAAAAAGAAAGCAGAAGAAAGTATGAGTGAGTGCAAAAGTATTAGTGTCTTTTCACTGAAGAAATGAATTAACACATTTAAAGAAGAAGAAGAAAAAATTAAACAAACTATTGAACATAGAAATCTATCCACGCAAGCACACACATTACTATTCACAAACATACACGCACACTTACACGCATACGTGGGCACATATACGACTCATTCTCTAATTGGTTCGGTGTTACGCTCAATCATCAATCATCAGAAGATTGACATATTCATTCTATTAACGTAAAAATAGTTGATTTGTAACAGGAATGAAATAAAGGTCATATGGTAGAAAAGGAATAGATCCATTATGTACTTATTACAATGCCAAAACCTAATTAATGTTCAACTTATATGCACACACGTATGTATGTTATTACACAAGGAAAAGATCTTGAGGTCTTCCCCCTTTACAAAAGTAACTCAATAGATTGGTTCTGTGCCAAACCACGCTAGTTGTTTTCAAGCATTCTTTCGCCTTTGAATCGAAATTGTGGGGTTCAATACAGCAATCAGCCAAGAAGAAATGAGTACTGAATACTGACAAGTGATAAAAATGAGAACATTTTCTATAGTTATTATTATTATGTTTTTTCCGAGTTGATCACGGATTGATATCAGTTAGAGAACCATTGAAAACCCACCAGGGAGTACTGGACAGCTGCTGTTTCATCCTAGTTTGCGAATTATCGGAAGTACGCATCCACCACAGAGGGTTCGAACCCAGGATCTTCTGGTTACAAGGCAAGCTGGCTCGTATACCATTCAGCCACTGGGATCCTATTCAATGGCCAGCTCATGAATTCTAACTTCTATCAATTCGTGATTTAGCGCGACCTCAACCATTGTCGTTGGTGAGACATCCATCCACACACCTAACATCTAATTGGACCTCACTGGTCACGACTTCTCACTAGAACTCCAGTAAAAACGCCATCCTGTAGCAAGTCCCTAGCGGGCATCAGATTAATTTCCTAAAGTTTGGTTTGTAAGGGTTGGTTATGTTTTTACGATAGCATCAGTTGCATCAGAGAAATCTTCATATTGTACTTCTGTTGCACACTTTGTTGTATATACGGTTTCCTCCGACATGCAGAGGAATGTCAAAAAGCAGGATTGGAAAAGCAATACACACCTTCACTAATCTGAAATGAATGGACAAATCTACTGAAGTTAGCACAGAAGAGCAGATTCTAATTTTCAATATTAATGCCAAGTTAGTGCTTCTATATGGCTCAGAAACTTGGAACGTGACCAAAGACATATCCAACAGCCTGTTGCAGACTTTTATCAACAGTTGCTTCCGTGCCACACTGAAGACCAGACGACCGGTCAGAAAGGATTAGCAAAAAGAGAACTGTGGAAGGCAACGAACCTATTGCCCAACATATATGCCGAGGAAAATATAGGTGGATGGGAAACACGCTGAGGAGATCGCCAGGCCCCTGAGAAGAACTGTAGTAGGAAACGATGAGTTGATCATGGGTCGGAAGATGACATAGAGGAGATCATGTGGAGAAGAGGTTAAAGCTTAGGGTTAATCGCGAAGCCAACTTGAAAGGATTTACAGGGAACAAAGTGGAATGGAAGGAAATGTATGGCTGAAGTCGTAAATTCCACTTGAGACCGAAGGGGATGGTAATAATAATAATAATAATATATTGAGAATAAGCAGAAAACCATCTATAATTATTCCAACTACCTCCTTGAAAATAATACAGATTAAGGACAGATAGAATTTTATACTGTGTATTTTATTTAGAATGGAAATAAACGGAGAATTCAAAAACAAATCTGAATAGTACAGTGAATAAAAGTGAAGAGTTAGTAAAGATTTTTGTTATCCTTAGATGAAGTATGAGAGAGAGAGGATAAAATAGTAGGCCATTAGTTTCTCATATATATACTAAGTGTATAAATAAAACCTATATATACCTCTACTCTGATGTGAAATAATTCAAGGAAAGTTTCTGGTAAAGTTCTCATACTAGACATATAGAGTAATAATGAAGTATTATAGCCTACTTTTTTCGTATTTTCTTTTTTACAACAACAAATAATTTATAAAAAAAACCCATAATATTTACTCTCAAGCAAACGTAATAATAAGTGGAGATGCCGACAGGAATGATGTATTTTTACAAAGCTTTGAGGAACATCACGTCATTGCCAATAAAAGAAATGAGTAATTCTGTGTAAATTGATCATAAAAATCTGAAGGTAGATGCGGATTTATTTTATGAAATCAATTCAATTAAACATATAAAAACACTTTATATATGTCCAAACCAAGTTCACTTTTAACGGTTTGAAAAAATTTGGGCATTGGGTATATGATATTCATTATAATGAAGGTTTTTTTTGTATTTCCGAATGAATGAAAAACAAGACGATACTGTCGTTGTTTTTACTGACGTTTCACTATTTAAAGCTGCTAATAGCTTTATCAAAGTATTATTATTAAACCGGAATTTACAAAATCTCAACAACAAAAACGACCTCAGACTGACGAACGATGATCAAGTATTTCACAGTCTACACTTAATTTTGCTATCTTTTACGGGTTGATCACGGATTGATATCAGTTAGAGAACCATTGAAAACCAGGGAGTACTGGACAGCTGCTGTTTCATCCTAGTTTGGGAATCATCGGCAGTACGTGATCAACTTGTAAAACATAACTAATCCTTACAAACCAAACTATAGAAAATTTGCTATCTTTACCAAATGACCAAATTGACAACGAAAAATGACCCCAGACTAAAGAACGATGATCAAGTTAGTATACTTTGTTTTGATATCATAACAGATGTACTGTTACCTTTGATATTTGGTTTAGTGATCTTCATTGTTATTTTGACTTCCAATATGTCCTTTTAACTTGACCTAAGTCTATTTTCTCACCCCTAACTCTTTGTTATATATATGCTGAGATTTTGCAAATTCCGGTTTAATAATACTTTGATAAAGAATCACCCACAAGAAACTATGGCTGAGAACAAACAAAACAAGAACCAATCGCCAACCAACAAATATGCAGGAGAAAGTGGGGATGGATCGGACACTCGCTAAGGAGACCGCTGGGTGACATCGCGCGTCAAGCCCTCGAGTGGAACCCGAAAGGGAAGCGGCGAGTGGGACGTCGGTGTAAGGGTGGCATGGAGGAGATCGTGTGAAGGGGAGTTGAAACAGTATGAACTAACATGCATGGATGCAAGTGAAAAGTACAGCAGAAGACAGAAGCAAGTAGATACGTGCAATTGAAGCCCTATGTTCCACTAGGAACCCAATGGAGCAATAATAATATATAATAATTAAGTTATCAGCATTAAGTAGCGAAACGTCAGTAAAAACAATATCGTTTTGTTTTTCATTCATTGGGAAATACAAAAACCCTTATTATAATAAAAACACATCAGGCTGAATATTCATCAGCTAATCACATATGTAACATTATAGACGAACAATATTTGAGATAATAATCAGGCCAATATATATATATATATATATATATATATATATATATATATATATATATATATATATATATATATATATATATATACTGGATAGTGATGCCCCTTCGGGAATTCGAGCACCTGGCTGAGTCCCAATAGCTTAGTTGTAATGTTTCTGACTTCAGTAATGGATTACACTGGTTCCAGTCTCCAACAGAGAGAGCATCAAGGTTTTTGAGGTTACAGATACGTTTTGCTGATGAGTACCAGTAAGCGTAAAGCTTAGGTGCACAGCACCCTGGAAACTGTCCTTAACCATATATGAAATCAATTTTTAAAGATCACAGAGATAGCAAATCACTTAGCTTGGTAATCGCATTGCAAAACTTGACTGATAGAATTCAGTCAGTCCCAACATTAAGGATTAGACACATATGACACTGACTACTTCCCCCCTAGTAATTAATCAATTTATTGCATCCTGTTAGCCAACTTTCCGTTACCATATAAAAAAAAATATGGGGAGAATGTGAAAAACACCTGAGAGGTTGTAGATGGCCTGCATAAAATATATAGAATAACAAGAACAATTAATAACTGAACAAAGGTCAAAGACACCTGTTTAGTTGTAATCCTAATTCACAATATAATACACAACTACAACATTGGCGCTTAAGACAGTAGACTTAAGCAAATAAATTTTTGGTTAAAAACACAACTTTTTACTTACTAGCTAGCTAGTACTGTAAACTGTGATAAAGTATGTGGCTTAGTACAACTACCATAAAAAAATATACTAGTAGTCTTATAGCAGTGGGATCTGAAAAAAAGTTTTAATCGATTACTTACACTACAAAATGTCTGCTAACATACAAAGCAATATGCTACATCGACTGGTTATTATTTTAACTTTCTCTTGTTTCAAATGATTAACTATGAATGTGTTCATTATTATTATTATTATCATTGCGAAGCAACCGTTGTATTGCAGCTACATAGTTTTTCTTGTACTTTCATACCTTTTTTCTAAAATTTAATCTTAACAAAATGATACATTAATTTAGACCTTAAGCAAGAAAAACAAGTTTTAGGTGGTCAGTAAAACACATAAGCATTTCACAGTATTGAACTAGCTTTTAGATAATGTTAAGGGTAGATATTATAACATTAGTCATTAGAAAATTGTTTTTTATTCTGCGCTTATTCAGGCTAACAATAAACGATGTTATCACTAAGCTGAAGTCAATTGATGGATGGTAACTAGCAGTGAAGTTCAAGATGCTCATTTCGTCTTATTTGAGACTCGTTATCCGGGTGTGCCTGCCTTCCCCAGTGAGTGATGGTGTTTCCACCGAGGCTGAAACCCAGTGCCGATAGTTTCAAACGCCAAAGTGTTATCCACAAGATCACTTGGGTCACGAGAGCCAACTCTTCTGAAACGGATCTTATTAATTATTTAATTCAACTTAAACCGAAGCAC